AGTCAAAGAAAAACAAATGGCCGCTCTCTTTCTCGCCAAAAACAATCTGCTAACCCATCATCTGCCCAGAAAACAAATGAAAACTAAATTGCAACCAACAGCCTTTTCCGTATATCTGATAAGTGTTTATCTCCATAAGCAAGTGGGTGGCATCCTTTCCAAGATGACACAGTCATATATGTGAAGAAGCTCCATGCACACAATGGTGGAACAAGCCGTAATTCCAGCCAATTCAGAGGGAGATAAATATGCCAAGCTGGTAATTTGGCATTGTCCAGACCCGCCCAAAAAGTTTGACTCACTTTCTTACTTATTAACAGTTGCATTTGACAGTATATAAAGGTAGCATGTTTTACTCTACAGCCCACTTATTTATGACACCATTTATTCAACAAATATTTATTGTGAATCTGGTATATGTCATGTGCTATTCTAGGCTCTGGGCATACAGGTGATTGAATGAAGTCCCTGTCCTCATGACGCTTACTTTCTAGTGAGCTTATATATTACACATAATTTCTGATGCAGACATATTCTTATTCTTTTATCTAAATGTCACTGTTTCATCTAGATGTATCTGCTATTTGGCCAGCTGTTTCTGAGAGTGTGCATCAAAATAGTTGTTGCTTCTCTGTGCCTGTCAGATGGAGACCCATGGCCACTGGTGCTGTACTTAATTGGCCATATAAACATAGGAGGAAAAATAGAGTGATTTAGGTAGAAATAAAATCAAAACAATTTTTTTTCTGTAAGTTACAGATTTGCCTTATGATTAAAGCAGACTTAACATGATGAGTGTTGGATTTACAAACACACTGGAAGTTTCCACCAATGCCACCATTAACTTAGGGACAAGGATCTAACTTCTAAAATAGGCTCAGCACAGCACACATTGTAAAAAGTTAAAAAAAAAAACAAAACAAAACCAAAAGAAACTTATGAGACCGACTACACCATCATTTTTAAAAAGTGAACAGAAAATTTTAATATTTGTATTTCCCTTGATTAAGAATGCATGTTCACTATAAGATGCAAATAACCTAGAAGCACATACAGCAAAAAGGGCTATTTATACAGCATTATAATATTTCTAGATCTCAGTAATTGCTTTTTTATGATTTATATATGGTCATAGAACACTGATCAGTCTCATCAGATTGCTTGACTATTAGCATATGCCTTGCTCCACAATACTTCCAGAATAACAATTGATATATTCAAAACTAATTTCTAAAGAGAATATCCAAAGCTGAATGGGAATGCCACTTAAAAGCATGGTTCTTAAGATGTACATTTTAATTTATTGCCAGTACAACCCTGAAGAAGACAGAGCAAGACACTGATCATCCGTTGAAGAGCGTCACAGGATGTTGGCGTCAGAATCTTATAAATCTAGTGCAGTGGGCAGAAGAGGAGGAGTGTAAACAAGCCCGCAGGTGAGTTCTGATACACAGTCACCCACGCACCACCTTAGGCATCACTGATTTCGTCCAACCCCATCATTTTATAGGTGAGAAAACTGAGGTCCAATCAAGTAAAGAAACCTGTCAAGCCTCTCATATAGGGAGCGGGCAGAACTGCAGAGCAACGTTCTGACGCCCAGTCTGGTGTTTGTTCTACTGCACTAAGCTTCAGTAAAAGACACCTTTTGCATATAAGTGTACAACCCAGCTTCGATTTACTCTCCCAATGTTAAGTTGCCCAAACAAGTTTCGATTGTATCAGAACCTCTTATTCTAACTAAAGAACTTGAGAGGTTTGGTTAGTGGTGGTCGATTTTGGGTGGTTGTTGGTAGCTGTGTGTTTTGCTTTTGGAAAGTGAAGAGGGAAGTTTAAGTAAGACCCAAGTAAAAGTACCATTATTACTTGACAAACTAACCAGCATGTATGTTTTGAAGTTTAGAGTAGAAAAGAAGCAGTTGGATCACACTCCCCATGCCACCCCCACACACTGTTCATTGGTGTGGTGGTAAGTGGTTCCATAGTAAATGTTCAAGGAGCAGGATCTCCATGCACACTTAGCCCTTGGTGGTGGGAGAACACATTACTTCAAGTCCTTTTCTCTCAGGTTCTCATGGAACGGCCACGATGGTTTCCAACAAAAGTGCTTCCAGGCCTCCACAGCCAGGGAAAAGGTCACCAAAGGCAGAGAGCTCAAGGGTTTGGGAAATTGGGTGAAAGGGAGAATGAAATGTCCATGGGATGATTGCAGTCTCTTTGAACATTCATCTAAATTGATAACTTTTATACCAATACAAACTTTCCCCTGCATGGAGCTCTACTGAACACAGCTGGCGTTTTAATGAGACTGAATCTGGCATTTCTGCCATTATCGGAGATAAGCATCAGAATATTTGTCTCAACCTTCCTTTATTTTACAAGAATTTGGAGTTCAGGATATTTTCACTCAATGTATGTCCAACTCGTAAGAGGAATAATTTTTGTTCTGATAGACCCTTGGTATAGTATTGATTAAGAATTATGGCACAAATTATAAGAGATGTGTTCTATTCCATACATTAAAAAAAACACAGTACCCTTAAGTATTAATGTGACTCTTAAAAAATTACAACCGACATTGACTGATTCCTCCTACTTGCTATACATTGTGTTAACTGCATTGCATAAATAATCTTATTTAATCTCCACAACAAGTCTATTATGCTGATGCAATATTACATTTGGGGAAACTGAGGCTTAAAGAGGTTAATTACCTGGCATAACGCCCAGTCAGTAAGTCACAAAACTAGAATTCAACTCCAAATTTGTGTAACAACAAAGCCTATCTTTTTGATGCTCTGAGTCACATCCCAGCATGCGTACCTACAGGACACATCCTAACATAACATTTATATGACAAACTTATAATTTAGTTAGAACATGCGTACAATTTGAGTGCAAATTAATTAATACAATCTTCCGTTTGTCAAATTCTGGATCGTTCCAAGCTGGAGTTCCCCTCATGATATCACAAAAGAGCCTCTGATGACCCCAAAGAAGAAGCACACATCGGAAGTTTCCACCAGTGCCAGCCAGCTCACTCCTTGGAATTGAATGAGGGCAGATGGGCACTAACCAGACTAAACTAGGCAATGGCTTTTTTCTATGGGTAGCTGAAATTTTTTGCCGTCATCAAATATTGTCATGGCAATGACTTCACTTAAGTGGAAATATTGAATATGCATTTTTTTCTTTAAAAGAAAAGAGCACACCCCGAGCTCGTTCCCCTCGGGCCGCAGGGAGGACCCGCGCCGGCAGCGGGGCTGTTCGGCGCTGCTGGCAGAGCTCCTTTCGCCTGATTTGTCTTGAGTCGGCGGCCCCTGCTGTCAGGCTTTTTTCCCTCTGTTGTGTTGCATCTGATGCTTTTGTTCAATAACCAAAGCTGGAGAGTGTTCTGTGATGTCGTTTTAATTGGGCATGAAATTAAATACATTATCAAGGAAAAGTGAAACTGAAAGAAGCAAGTCAAAATCGCAGCCCCGAGTTTTCTACTGGGGTCATAACTGCTGATAACACATACAAAGTGCCCAACCCAGTCAATTCCTGCTACCTTTTGACCAGAAGATCTACGAAACGGGTGACTAGAGTAGGTGGTAGGGGAGCTGGAAACCACCTTCACCTGTGATTAGAAGGATTTTGCATCCTCAAGCAGACAAACGTTAGTCCTGTCTCTCCTACTGTGCTCATTTTATAGTGCTCCTAAGGAAAGTCTCTTGAAAGAAGAAGATACTAGAAGTCTGCAATGGAACAAAACCTACACAACAATCCACTTCCGTCATCTTTCCTCACTCTTATTAAGATGATGGCTCAGTTGTGAATAAAGATTAATTACTTCATTGTGGTTAATGTATAGTCTGGCCAAATTAATTTATAAATGAGAGGCTGGTTATTTTTAGTACACTTCACATCCCAGCTGACCTAAATCAGTAAATTTCATAGACATGAATATTTAAAAACTCTGCATGGTTTTTGTCTTTCACCCATTCAATGCCTCTTTCAATTATTAATATTAGTATATTTACACAGTCTGTCTGAGGGAGCTGGCTGGCCCATTTTTGATAATGTGATCTTGCCCCCCTCCTGGCTTTCCATGATGAGTCCATGGTAACATTACCCTTTCTGACAAATTTATTTGAAAAATTTAGACTTTTAAAAACAAGTTGTATGTTTTTAAGCTTGACTCATTTGCTGTGTCATAATTGGTGTGTGGAAAACCAGGCTCTGTGTGAATGTTTCTCAATTACATCTGTAACTTAGTTTTTCACTCCTCCTGACACAAGCGATCAATCTCAATCCCCCCATTACAGTTGTATGTTGTTTTCTGAAACTAAAGTTGTATGCCCCCAAATCTCTGCCACCTTCTGTGTGGCAGATGACATCTTCCACTGACAGTAGATAATAAATGTACACTCAACCCATCTATGAACCCTTGACACAAAAGCACTCTACACGCAGTACAATTCAAAGTGACATTCCCTTCTTCTTTTCCCTCCTTCCTCAGCGATGCAGACTAACAGTCAAAAATTAACATTTCTCTTTTAGAGGGTGCTGAACGAAAAGAACAGAACAAGAGAAGGGCACCTCAATCCAGACAATGGGTAACAAGAGCCCTGAACAAACCACAGTTCTTAGCAGACACCCTGATAAGAGTCCCAAGACAGAGCACTGAGGAAGAGGTGAATTCTCCAGTGAGACACATCACACGCTCCAGTGGCTCCTGGTTGACCCAGCCACATCATCTATGCCAAAATTCAGATTTAACACAATGTCCTCCTTAGCCCCAGTGAGAGTCTATTTCCAGGTCTGCCAGCCTCAGTTCTGCAAAGCATCAGTATTCTCTTTTTAAAAAAAGTACGAGCTTAAATTCTGGGCCATCCATCAGTCATACCCTTTGATTAAAGACTACACCCAGTAAAGCATTTTCTGCTGAAGATGCCCACAGCAGGACCCATCCCAGGGACACAGAGGTGGAAGCAAAAACGATGGCGTGGGTAACTTACCCGCTCCTGAGTGAGTGGCTGCAGCAGCCCCCGCGCTTTACCTGATCCCTCGCTCTCTCTGTGCCTCTCCCTCTCTCTCTCCCTCTTTCTCTTGTGTACAGATTGCAAGGAACTTAAAGAACTCACAGGGACAGTGTTTCAAATGACTTAAGAAAGAGAACAGGAACAATACTTCGTTCTCTTTTTCTCAGATGAGTACCTTCGGGAAGAAGGAAGGAAGGGAGGGGAGAGGGAGGAAGTCAACAACCCTTTGCTTTCCTGAAAAAAAATAAGGAAACAGAAGATAGACATCTCATTTTCTCTTAAACAAAATGTTAGAGGGGGCAAAAAAAAAAAAAAAAGAAAAAAAGAAAAAAGAAAAAGAAAACAACTTTGAAAAAAGGAATTCCTCAAAAATGCTCTCTGCCCTGGGAACTTTAAAGAGATGAAACGCCTTACTGGTCTGCCCTGTCCAAACAAATGGTGTTCCAGAGAGACAGGCTCTCCTGAACTTGCAGTCTCTGGTATCTGGTTTGTAGAACTGACACAGCCAAAAGGGAACAAATCATGTCATGTCAGCTCTGAGCAAAGGAAAGTGGGGTCTGTTGTGCTCACTGAGGCAGACCTGCAGCCTGCAGGGGCAGGAGGTGGCTAGTCGCCTGGCCGGGATGCGTGGCCCCTCCTAGGCCTCTCAACGCCAGCGCTGCTGCCCGCCCTCCAGCCTGGCCCTAGATCCTTCGCATTCTTCCAGGATCAAATAGCACGGTTATGCACTGGTCACTGAGCTTTATGCCATGGGCCAGACCAGACTTCAGTCTTTGCTGATGGTTCAAAAAGCAACTTACCACACTGGGTGCTAGATATAGTTTTCTCAGCAGTGTTGCTTATATTGTCCTATTCTTTACATTCCTAGTGCTTCTTAGATTAACAAAATACTGTGGAGCAGCGTAGGTCTTGGATTGGTCAGCCACAGTTTTTAAAAAAGAGATGAGGGTGCTGAGGGAGAAGAAAAATGGAAAGAATGTTCTTTATCAAGTTGGGGGTACTTGGCAGTTCAGTGGGCAGGCATGAGCTCCATTTAGGGTTAGACATTAGAAATAAGCTAGATTTAAAATTCTCTGACTTGTGCTGTGTGTCTTATGCCCTTCGTTCACTTGGTTAAGACCATTTCACCATGAACAGGAACCAGCAGTTATGTGGGCCTCTGTGGCAGCAAAATAAAAACCAGCATTAAGGTAGTTCCTTAATTTGCTCAATTGTGAAAAAAAGGTGTGGAGACTTATACCTGATGACAAATAGCAATTCAAGAAATAACAAGGAACGAGCAACGCTGATTTAGTCTCTCTGTAGGACTTTTATAGGTCCCGATGGTCTTTAAGATTATTCTTTTATCCCAACAATTTTCTCCCTCCAGTGTTGTCTATCTACCTACCTAATCTGTATATCAGAGAAAACATAAAGATGTTGTGATTCAGTAGGTTTGCAAGAGCCAGGACAGTCTTGTTCTTTGTATTTCCTATGGCACTACCACTGGCACAACACATGGGTTTCTGGCATGGGTGACCCAACCCCACCTACAGATGAGAAAACTGATGCCCAGGAAGGGGTCCGTGCAGTTTACTCAAGGTCACACACATCAGGGGCAAAACCCCAAACGCTCATGTGTCTCCTGGTGCAGCTCTGGTGCTCTTTGCCCTCTGCTGGCCTTGCCCTGTATCCTGCCTTTGTAGACAAGGGGAGGAAAATGAAAATGAAAATCTAAGAAAGCAAAAGAGCGTGAGAGGATGAAGTAGCGCCGGGAAGGAACAGGAAGGAGCCCTTTGAAAGGAGCAGCGATATTGGGACAACCCTCGGGGTAATGGTGAGGGCAGAGAAGCACCCGCGGGGAAAAGCTGCTGGGGGCAGGGCGCTTGGGTGAGGGAGAAGCAGGGAGAGGCTGCCCTGGGTTCTGTGGCACCAGCAGCAGAGACAATGAGGGGACGCGAAGGAACAGAGACGCTGGGGCTACAAAACCCTCGCAGGAGTGGAAAGTCTCTGATCACCTGGAGAATCAGCGACAGACAGCAGCACGGAGCCCTGTCCGTGTTTTCATTCCTGCTGCAGCCTCAGGGCAAGGCCAGGCTGAGCCCCAGGAGCCCAGTCGGAATCCAGAGGATTTCCCTTTTAAGTGTGCAGAATGTGGGGACTGTCACGTTGAGGCGTGTTGTTTTCTCCCAGCCCGCTGTCCCGCCCGAAGCAGGCCTGCACGGGGCCATGTGCCCTCTGAGCTGCGCAGCTTTGATGTGACGGAGTGGCATGTGGTTGGGATCTGGCGACATCACCTCCGGAAACACTGGAAGGCGATTTCTCGTTTTCCAAATAGCGCTGTGGAGCAGCGTGGGCCTTAGACACTAAGTCAGCCGCCGTGTTTCACAAGGATTCTCGGCCCTGCCTGTGCGAGCCGTCCCGCTCGTCCACGCCGTGGTGGTGAACAGGCTTCTCCCGCTCTCCCTGCTCTGCCAATCACAGGAAAAGTCACCCTCTGCTGCTTGCCAAGTCACCCAGTGGGTGTCTGGAAGCTACAATGCCTGAGTCCCTCCCACTAGGTTTCACACGAGAGATTTCTAACCAGGCTCCTCAGGCTGGCGAAGCTCACTCTCCAACTCTGTCCTGGGTCCTTCAGATTCTGCCTGACAGTGGAGGGAAGGACGTCTGCACTGAGGGCAGCAGAGGAGACCATGTGTGGAAATGGAACAGGGCCCCACCTCTGACCCAGCGGGGAAGCCACACATTGCATTGCACATCGGATCAGGGGACGGGGAGAAACACCAAGGTGTAGAATTTGGTGCAACCAAAGCAGTGGCCCAACTCAGAACCACAGAAATATAAGCTTTACTCAAAATGACTCCCCACTTCTCCAGAACCCTAATTGGTTCTGATTATCCAGAACGCTAGAGCCATCTGTTTACCCCAGAACTAAGTTAACCCCTGATTATGGCGGGTGGTGGAGCGAGGGTGGCTTGAAATATACGTTCAAAACAGTGTACAAAAAACTAAGTGTCTGTGCCAGTGACCTTTCACAGAATGAACACAGGCGAGTAACAGAAACAGGACAGAACACCCCCTGTGGCCCTCTAACCACTGCCCTCTAAGGGGTCGCAGGGTCTAAGCTCTTACATGTGACCCAGATGTGTGTTAATTTCCTATTATTAAACTTACATGACAAATGTCATCTGATTGTACTTTTTGTTCTGGATTTCTTTGCCTCAGTATTATATTTGTGAGATTCACCCTGTGGTTGAGTGTAGGTGGAATTCATTCACTCCCATTCTGTGACTCTGTCGCCATTCTCGCATATGCCCTGCTGAAGATGGACATGCAGGTTGTTTCTAGCTCGAGGCTGTTTCACACGGGCTGTGGGGAATGCTCCTGCTCCTGCCAGATGGCTTTTTAAGTCTGATGCAGGGCTTCCCTCTCTCCAGGAAGACTGTCCATGCCAGTGATTCGCAACCTTTTTGTTTGATTTCCTCTGGCACACACCTCCGCTCACATGGCACACCTAGCATACATGGATTTTTAAAATTCAAATGGCTTTGGTTTGAGAACATGCTGATGCCCTTGGAGATATTGGCAGAGTTCCTGAGGAGCTTTGGAAGAAGCTGGAAGCCACTGTTCTCTCTTCCGGCCGCAACCTGGAGACGCTAGTTCCTGCTGCTCTGAGTCATGCTCCATCAGCTCTCCATCTCGCTTCCAGATTCTGTGGAAAGTGGGTCTCTCCTCCCTCCTCTGAGCTTCTCATGGACAGGCTAAGTTTCATAATATTAATGTGCAGAAAAGATGGCCAAGTCTTGGGCCTCAAACTGCTGTGACACTTCCTTTGTTTCTTTGATTTATTCTCTTCATCTTGCCAAACCCCAATATCCTCCAAGTCCCAACCCTCAAAACGTGAGAACATACATTTCTTTCTTCCTTTTCAGCTCTCTTTTTTCAGCATCAAAAGATGTCATGAAGATTTCATTTAAACAAGTTGTTGAAGAAAGTCTGTTTTATGCATCTAGTTTCCTCATTTCACAAGTTGGGTAATAATGTAACACCTATTTTCCTCATTTCACAAGTGGGGATAATAACATAACACCTATTAGGAGTAAAGAATAAGAACAGCTAACATCTTTCGCATACTTACCATGTGCCAGGCACTGTTCTAAACACTTCTACATGTCATGCCTTATTTAATCATCACAATAGCCCTATGAAGTAGCTATTATCGTCCTCTACCTCCTTGCCTTTTAGATGAGGAAACTGAGGCATGGAGAAGTTAGGCTACTTTCCCATTACTACACAATTAGTAAAATTTTGAATCCAGGGAATTCTGGCTGAGAGTTGTGATTTTTAACTGTGAAGCTAGCTTGCCCTGCCCCCTAAACAAACACTGCCTTTCACACAGAAACAATGGTCCCTTGAATTGGGGAACAACATCTTTTATAATACCAATGATAAAGATGTATAGTGCAAAGGCTCAGTCTGCAACCATGTAGTACACCTGTCTAATGCACCAGAAGGCCCTGTGCGAGGTGTGGTTAATGTACTTCTGGGTTTCAGTGCCTGGTAGAGGGTATGCATTAAACGAATGATACCCGAATATCTAAGCAATTGTGGTGTGTGTTCTGAAGAGGGAATCTGGGAGTTAGGAGAGCTTGTGGTGAGGTACCAAATCTGGACAAAGGTCAGAAAAGATCTTCCTAAGAAAATGACATGCAAACTAGGGCATGTCCCTGGCAACAACGGGAAGACAGCGGCTTATGCAAGGGGCAACCTGGTGAATCCAAGTTCAGATTCTGAACTTGATCCTAAGATGCATGAGAAATCATTAATGATTTATACAGGAATGGGACATGATCAGATTTGCATTCCAAACGGCCAATTTTGATCATTATGTAAAAAAAGTGAATTGTGCAGGGGCAGAAAAAGAATAAGATAAAGAGTTGTAAAGCCTCATCTAAATTTGACCATGCCAGAGAGGGCTATCAGGAGATGCAGGTGGACATGTTAGTTGCCTAGAGAGATCATGGGATGACACAGTTTGAGAGTTATGCTAATAGGCTGTATGACAAGAGTCTGTTAGACAATGAATATAGCCAGTGCCTGGCACACAAACAGCTAGCCCATGGAAGTTCATACTCTTGAATGGCAAACTCTCTACCATGCCCCCACCCCATCCCCAACTCCCAGAGCCT